AGTCCAAGAACATCTGGAGGCCCAAGGTTGGGGACCACTGTCTTAGAGTAGACTTCAGTGGTGTAGTGGTTAAAGTGCAGTACTGCAGTCAAGCCTCTGAGTTCAATCCCACACATTCAGGTTGCTGACTCAAGGTTGACTCAGCCTTCCATCCTTCTGAGGTCAGTAAAATGAGTATCTACCTCAATGGATGTAAAATGTTGTTTGCACAGTTATGTTGTAAACCACTTCAGTGGTGTAGTGGTTAAAGTGCAGTACTGCAGTCAAGCCTCTGAGTTCAATCCCACACATTCAGGTTGCTGACTCAAGGTTGACTCAGCCTTCCATCCTTCTGAGGTCAGTAAAATGAGTATCTACCTCAATGGATGTAAAATGTTGTTTGCACAGTTATGTTGTAAACCACCTTCAATGGATGTAAAATACTGTTTGCACAGTTATGTTGTAAACCACACAGAGAGTGGTCCAAGCACTATGAGGCAGTATATAAGTTGAAGCAGCAGCAACAAGAACAACATAAGCCAACGTGGGCCATTGGCTGGCAGGCAATGACAGGGGTTGTAGCCTAGCATATCTGGACAGTGGCAAGGTTGGGAGGTCTGCCCAAGGCAATAACTTCTCACTTGTCTAAGGAGAGACAACACCTTTATTTATTTATCTATTCGATTTATATCCCGCCCATCTGGTATATTCTACCACTCTGGTATATTCTACCACTCCTTCCTCACTCATTTTCCATAACCTTGACTACTAAGATGATGTACCTTTCCCGCATGTAATGATCCCTCCTGTCCTCAGGTGGAGTCCTCATGAAGATATTGGCATGCCTTCTGTTAATGAATGGGCCTAAGGAGAAATGATGTTCATAATTACTACATGGTAAAACTGATGGTCCACAGCTTTGTGTAAAAGCAGAATAGTGTCCCTGTTAAGGTGCCCATGGCATTAATCTTCACATTTATGGTGGCAACCATCAGCAGCCTGGTGGAGGGCGTGTTCATACAGTGACCGCTATGCTGGTCTTGCCTGGTGACATCAGGCAGGCTTGTGATCCCGGCCCCAGATAGCTATGCAGTGGGACATGAAATCTGCCATCTACACCAATGTGAGATATGCAGGGGCAGGAATGTGCCCAGTCCTGGGAGCAGAGCCAGCAGCATGGTTCCAGTCTTCAGTGGTCACATCAAGCCCCTTTCACGTGACTAAAGCTATTATAGAGGAGAAGCAAGGGCAGCTCCTACCAATACAGGGGCTTATGCAGCATCGCTAACAAAAGTATGCAGGTTCGTGTTTTTGGAATACAATCGAGGATCCTGGGAGTTATAGTGCAACAAAACACAAATCTGCACATGTCTAGTTGCCAACCACTCCTCCACTCCAGGTGGGGCAAAAGCATGATATCCTTTTTGGAGCAGAAAGCTTTGTGTTACCATTGCAGGGAAAGCCCTAACAGATTGCTACAAGCAGTGCCTTGCAAGGCGGGGGCCACAAAAGCAAAAGCACCGGAACACAAAGGTTTGGGGGGACACTTGTTTGGATGTTCATAAGCAAATTAGAGAATTAATGATGTCAACATTAAAGGGAAAACAAGTACAAAGATATCTAATCTAATCTGGTTCAGGAGTAGAGAACAAGTAGCCTTTTAGATGGCCCTCTGTCCCCTCCCCCCACTGGCTATGGTGGCTACATCAGATGGCATTTGTGGTCCAACATCCAGAGGGCAACACATTCTCCAGCCTTCCTCTAGATTATGAGAACCTGGGAATGGCAGTTCAGGAGTAGAGAACAAGTTGCCTTCTAGATGGCCCTCTGTCCCGTCCCCCCCGCCCCCTAGCTATGGTGGCTACATCAGATGCATTTGTGGTCCAACATCCAGAGGGCAACACATTCTCCAGCCTTCCTCTAGATTATGAGAACCTGGGAATGGCTAAAAATTACCATGTTCTGGACCATACAGGACTTTCTTTGGGAGAGCTTGAGTTAATGCCACATGATCTTAGGTCTGTCATTCCTTTAGTGATACCACCTTGCACTCTTACAACTTGCAGAAATAAAAATAATTTTCTGTAACCTTTTGTAAATGTTTTTCTTGTATCAGCCTTACCTTTCCTGCCATTTACACTTTTGGTTAATCCCCTTATATCATTTTTTTTCCATTTGGCAAGAGACCCTGAAGTTTGCCTGCAATAGCTTTTTCAAGAACTTGGTGCCTCCAGTATGAGAAATATTTTGTTCTTATTTTTTTCCTCTTGAGTTTTCCGGCATATTCTGGTATTTAGGACATTCAAGACATAAAATCCAGCATCCAGAGCCCTCTCCAATAGCAAAGAAAGTAAAAACAATCACCAACCTGCTGTTCCAAAACTTTTCAATGGTAGATCTAAAATTACTGGAGAGGGGGGCCTTTTTTTTATCCTTATGTCCCACCCTGTCAGACTTCAGCAGATGGGGATTTACTTTCTGATTGAAGACAGCGTGGCCATAACTTTATGTTGTTATGTTTGGGACTTAATTGTTTAAAAGGAAAAGATGGATGGGGACAGACCAGGGGCAAAGGGAGTTAAGAATGCCAGGTGCTTGAATCCCTCAGCCACCATGGGTGCTGTAGCAAAGGTAATTAGGGATACCTGTTTAGGGGAAACTGCCCTAAAGGAAGGGGAAAGAGGGGCATATGGGGTAAAGAAGTAAACCCAGGTTTCATGTTACAGATAATAAAAGTATGCCACAGATCTGAAACAGCTGGTGAACAGACTGCTTTTCTAATCTGAATGGCTAAATTCGGTGGTGTTTTCACTGCTGACGTCTTTCAAGTGCCTTTAGTAACAAGCTGTTTTGAATAATATTTGCCAAGTGGCTCTTTATCATTTTATGTCTTCCTGAGTTGGTTTAGTTCAACCTAGGAGCCCCCAGTCTTTACAGTAAAACAACCTCCCCTTTGTCTTCAAATTTATATTGAATTAACAGCCCAGCGCAGTGCACATTCCCTTGCAACTGCAGTATCCTGTGTTCCATTGAGATTACTCGCAGGTAAGTGTGCATGGGATTGTAGACTGGGCATGCCGTTAACAGTGTTTTGGATGCCAGCAGGTCTCTAAAAATAGCAATTCTGTCTCAACAATTAACGGAAGCCAGAATGGGTCTGTCCTGAACAGTTAAATCTGCAAACTTTGACTTACTGCAGTCGGAATGGGGATGTCTCAGGGAGAAAGTCCCCCTGCCCATGTCCTGAACAGTACTTGTGAACCTGCTGTACACACCACCAACAAATGGGGAGGAGATCCAACTGCCATCTGTGAATATTCACATAATCTCTTTAACAGTGAACTGTAGTGTATTAGCACAATTGGAACCAAATTCAGAAGCAAGAGAGAAACAATGATATGCTTGGATAAGCTTCAGGTTTTGCAAAAGAAGTTGTAGCCAAGCAGCATCTAGAGTGCCACATGTTCCTCCTGGAAGAAGCAGGGAGGGCTTCTTGCTGCATCTCTCCCACAACATAGAATAGTTACATATTTGAACTTCAGCTCCCAGAATCCTCCAGCCAACATGGCCAGTGTCCATGAGGAATCTGGGAGTCTGGGATAAATGGTCAAAAGGGAATGGAACCTTTAAAATGACATGGTAAAATGATTTAGGGTCCCCTGCAAAAACCAAAATGTGAGCCTTAAGCATCCCATTAAGTCAAAGAAGTTGGTGAGTCTGTTTCTTACTTGTAAATTCGTGTGATTCAATACTCTCATGGGACTCTGTTAGGGAAAAAGAAACAAAAACAGCTTGAAAGATCACCCTTAACAAAACAGAAAGGAATATGAATATTAAAAATATGGAAATACACCTGGCTGTTTTAGGGAAGAAGGGGGGGGAACCACTCTGGTTTGGTCTAAAACTTAATATCTAAAGGTGGCCAATGAGACCCACAGCCAAGAAAAATGACTTTTATGGACCATAACTCTTAGAATCTCCCAGCCAGTGTGGCTAGCAACCATGCTAATTATTTTGGGATTTCTGGTCTAAAAAGTTACTCATCTAGGCTCTGATTCATATGCTCTTGGTCTTGGTAATCCCATTCTCAGCTTTTATGACTGCAGTTCACTTACTTAGAGGCATATCATCTCCATGAATGCTTGACCTCTTTGAAGAAGCATTCATATCTTTGACTACCATGACACCATGTAAAACTCATGTACTTACTGTATTAATCCAACGGGGAAGTAAAAAAGATGTTCATGTACTAAAGTCAGAAATACCTGGATTTTGACATAATTAGACCACATAAACCAAATCAAAGTTAAGGAATGTTAAAATGTGACAGATTTCAACCCAATAGAAACTTTATTTTGTAGTCCTTAGATGTAGACAAATACACTTCATAGCTGGAATCTGTTGCTGATTTACACTTGTGTGAGGGAAACTGCATACATCTTGAAGGTAAATTTGCTACTCATTATCTAAGTGCTGCTTGTGTTCTAGGTCCATGGCTGATTGTGCAATCAGGTGCAATTTGCCACCAACATGTATCCCACTTGCCACCAAGATTTATGCAGTTCTCTTATGCAAGTGTAAATTGGCAACCTCCTACAAATGTCTGGCCACCTTCCCCTATTTCATTTGTAAAAGCATTACATTAGCTTAATTCAGATACAGTAGTTCAGAACTGCACAATGTTTGATATAGTAGAATAGCCTACATCAAATCTGCAGCCTTCCATTTGTTTATGAAGATGAACCTAAACCATTCAAAGGAACAACTCTTGCTTCTGTAGGTGAAAGGAACTAACAACCTCAATGATCAGTACTAAGTAAATAGACTTGAGAGACATTACTTCTCAAGTAAAGACAATCCCTTGCCCATTATTTTACCATCATCCCAATAAGCCCCTGTTTGGCCATCCTTGATAGTGCAAACAGGAAAGTTGGAATAGCAAGAGAGAGAAAAACAAGGCACCATCCATGGAGCCTCAGCAAATTAATATTAATCAGATAACACCTCACATCAATCTAGCCAACTGTTTAGGATCTAGTACTCTTTCAGCATAACGAGAACCCAAGACAATCCTTGTCAAGAAAGCTGTATGAACATTTACAATATCTTGAAAATAGGCCCCTATAATTGTCCAAGCTGACAATGTATAAATTGCATGGTCTCACTTGAAAAGTATCTCTCTTATGTTTCTCCATAGCAACACTGTACAGATAGTTTGTGATAGTTACGAAACATAAAGAAGTCTGACTGGAGAGCTGGAACTGAGCAGTGGACAGAAAGCAGAGGGGACAGGACTGGAATCCTGGCAGAAAAAAAGTGCCATGGTTGAAGGATCTGGTCAAGAAAGAGATGTGGCAGAAGATAAAAATGTGAGGTCCGAACTCAAGATAGCTACCAATATAAAATGATATCACCTACCATAGCAGTAAGCTGTCATCATTAGGACAGCCAGGAGCGCAAGAATGATGAGGGTCCTCATGGTCTCTCTCTCTCTCTTTCTGTCGCTTTCTTTCCTTCTTTGTCCTTCTTGCTGCGTCTGACTTGTTCTCTGTTTCCACTAAGGCCAGCCAGAGAATCTAGGCAAGCTGCAAAGTTCAGCAGTGGAGCATTTATTATGAGTGCTGTAGTTGAGGGAAGGCAAGAGAGTCAAATGAAGGAGAGGGGGGGTGAGGAAGGTGGGGACCGCCTGCCACTGACCCTCACGGAAACTACGTATTGCAAAAACACCCTCAACAAAGTGGGTTAAATCAGCCTCTAGACAGACTAGGCACTCTCCTTTCTCCTCCCTTTCAGCAGAGGGAGGACTTCACAGTTCAAAGGAAGGTGAGATGTTTTAACTCTGCATGCTCAGAAACATTAGATGGTGGGAGTGGAATGCCAAATATTAGCCAAGACCTATGGGCAGGAAATTAAACTTTTTCCTAAACAGAATTATTCCATGTTCAAATTTGTCTTCTGACTTGTCTTCCTTTCCACCACTTTTGTTCTACATACACGGATCTAGTATTATGGTTCCTCATTTATGACTCCAGATGAACTAACTGTGTTTACCACTTTCCCTGAGGAATTTTCATTCCAAAATGTGTTTCGGTGTTGGCTTCCCTTCATATTCCACTTCATACTCCAGGCCTTTCTATCTGTTCTTATTGTTGTATATAAGCAATGGTTAGAATTTTAGCCCTCACCTACAGCAGGTATGGACAACTTGTGGCCTTCCAGATATCACTGAACTGTGACCCATCATCCTTCACTATTGGCTGTGATGCAGCCCTACAGCATCTGGAGGGTCATGTATTGGCCATCTATGACTTGAACACATTAAATGCTGCATTATGTTGTATTGACAGTATTCTGTTGTAGAACTCCACCAACACAACAGGAAAGAGTATCATCACCAGCAGTATACTGCCATTATTTAAAGAGTTCTTTTTTATATATTGGGGTGTATGCAGCTCATGCAAAACGATATGCAGTTGCACACATCTCAACATCTGAAAAGGAACTCTTCAATTAGTGGTAATCCCATTTTTTTTTCTGCTGGCAAAACACTATACAAAGATGCTAGCCAACGTATCCAACTGCTATCTGCTCATGAGAAGAAACCTCCCTGTGGACTTTCAGGAAGCAATTAAAGACATTGCTTTTCAGGGAGGCTTTTCACACCAACACCAACTGACCTCCTCTCCCACCTTTTCTCTCCCCTCTTCTTCTTCCCTCCCTTCTTTTCCTCCACTTCGCTCTGAGATTAGTCGGTGCCATCTTGGTTTTTTTTAAAAAGGCTATTGCTATCAGTTTTAATATTTCTATTTTTATTTTTGCTTTCTATGTTATGAGTTGTAGCCCACCCAGAGTAGTGCTGTGACACCCATGCGAGCAAGATACAAATTGAATGAATGAATGAATACATAAATACATAAATAAATACATAAAATGCCTGTTTATGTATCACTACAGATTGGAAGTGGGAAGAGGAGACATAGTACTGAATATGCTTCTGTATTTTAAAAAAATCTTTCCCAAAAATTAGATGCTAGGAAGATGCTTTGTAGCCTAGTCTTCTTCATAACATTCTAGTTTTTGTTGAATATGCCATTTTTTGTTTTCCATTGAAACGAAAGTGTCCAACACTCCAACACAGGTTTAGTGATAGCCAAACTAGAAATGGCAGGGCAGCAATATTTGCTGTTCACATGAGTGCCCCACTCATATCCCAAATGTAACAAAAGGGTGCATGAGTGAGGGGAGCATAACCTTCTGGTACCTTTTCTCCCAGGCTATAAATTATGGCTAGACAACTGTGGTCCTCCTATTGTTTTCATAGCCATGGTGGGAAATCATAGGAGTTGCAGTCCATTGACATCTAGAGGAGCACATGTCTTCCATCTCTGGAATCAGGAGTAAGGACATCTCACAGTATTTATTTGCTGATCCCTTCCACAAGTAAACGGGACTCAGGGCAGCAACAGGAACCAAATGTTTACAGGTACGGAGGAGTTCCATTCCCCCTACTTGCATGCATCTTTTCTGAATTTAATACTAATACTAATACTAATACTAATACTAATACTAATACTAATACTAATACTAATACTAATCATCATCATCATCATCATCATCATCCCAAATCTTCAAACGCATGCAAGGAAAACATTTCAAGAAACATACGCTACTACCCATCTCATATCTAGTTTGGCCATAAGAGATAGACTTTAAACTTAACCAAGATGAGAAGTGGTTAGTGTGCTAGAGAAAGGAATGACCCTTGTTTAGATATTTATCTATCTACTATGACAGTTCATCATTGGTGATATCTATAGCCCTTCTCAATGAATTGTATTCTTCTATATAATTCCTTTATGCTCTCTTTGGCAATGCAGCAAATACACTACAGTCATTTAAATGCTTGCCTTTGGAGACTTATTTGTGCATGAGACAGAGAGAGATCTGCATGCAGAAAAGGATCCAGCTATAATGTGTTTCTATATCTGTACCAGAGTGATTCTAAACTTCTGAACTATTAAAAGTCAGGGGTGCAAACTGAAAAGGTAAATACTGTGACCACAATAAATCATATAGATTCTATGCTGTTTTCTTGAAATGTACTCCGATGACAACGTTTGTGAGCAAGTAAAATGGACTGTTTTTGACAGGGACCTGTAGGATATCACACGGCATTAAGAGTCAATACATGTGGATAGTGAAGAGCAAAAGAGTAAAAAGGAATGGAAAGCAAGATGGATTGTGAAGTGGCAGCTAGCACTGAATTTAAAACCTGTGAAAGATGCTGAATAAGCTGCTTTAGGATTAACATCCCAAATTCCTAGAAGTCGAGTACAGAGGACTATTTGTGCCTGTTGATGGATAACCAGACAGCTACCAAAACCTGTGGCTTCACCAAAACCACTTGTAAAACCACATTCAAAATAGAACTGATGGCTGACACTGGGCATTTGAGACCACAAGTCTGTCCAAAGCTGGACAGTTTGCGAAGCTTTGCTAGTCACCCGACCAAATCCTGCATGGATCCCTTCCATTCTGTTGGACTCACAGGGCCAAATATTTCAGAGATCACTGCAAACTTCTTTTACTTTTACATGGCCCAGATTCTGAATTGAGAGCTGCAATTCCAAAAAAAAGTAACTTTCTCTCGTCTCTGAGCAGAGTTTCTTAGTCAGAAAGCAGTTGGAAGCAAGTAGCAACCTGTTCACTGTGGAAGAAAAGGGCATTTAAAGCACACAAGGGGGAGGGAGAGGCTTGTTGCTCCCTTTGGCAAAAATAGATTTGAGAAAAGGAGTGTCCAAATCATGTTGGAATGTGCAGTGCTGGGAAACTGTTCATTGCAAACTCCCAGTCCCCTTCCAAAGTCCAGGGGCAAGTGGGAAGAAGTAAGGAAAGCAGAAAGGAATGGACTGTTTATAAGCAGCTGTGAACAGGCATCTTTTTCTTTGGCCTCATCTTAGTTGCAGCACCTCTTGTCTTTGAAATCTGGATCGACCCAGAGGCCAAATCTCTGTCTCTAAGCCCCAAGACATAACTCCTCTGTCTCTTGCACCAGCTTCCTTTGCACTCCCTGCCACCCCTTAATCTCACCCTGATGTTTATCTTCTTTTTTTAAAAAAATCTGCCTCCTTTATGGATGTTCACTTGTCTCGATCAGGACTTTGTTTATGTTTCAGAGCATAAAGTGTGGATTTCAGGAGCTTACAGCCTCTGGCATCTGAAGGCCTTGGGCCTGTCAAGAAAAGAAGGCTGGGATGAGAGAGATGGAGAAAGAAGACAAGAAAATAGGATTGGAGGTTCATGGTGGGAGGGTTAGCAGACTGTAGTGAGACAACTTCGGTGTTTTGTCACAAACAGGAGGACCCTTGTTCACTTTCTAGATAGCTCCAGTTTTTTTTTATCTGAGCAGGTAGGGACAGTGACCAGCCAGCCACTGCCACCCCATCCCTTTGTACCTCAGCCTAACTTTTTACCTCCTCCTTCTCTTGATTTGTTACATCTGTCACCCTGCTAATTGCCTACATTACAGAAGTGTGAAAGGCCTGTGAAACAACTCCTCTGTTTCTCTAAACATTTTACCCACAAAAATGCCTAACATTTTCCAAGGGCAAATAAATTAGAGGTTTGTAAGGCTTACTTGTGGAGGCAACAAAGTTCCAATGAAAAGCTTGATTTTGATCCGGCCAGGTTTGCATCAGCATTTCAAAGAACTATCACAGGCAGCTTGGTGAAATGCTGGCAAGGCTCTCCTGACAACATCTGGAAGGATTTTGTTCCTTGTTTACAGTTGACTCGGTTTACTTTTTTTGTGCCAAAAACGATGTCGCTTTCAAGTTTATGCAGAATTAAGGGAAATTAATGGCCATAATTTCCAACAAAATTACCTGGCTGAACAGAAGCAGTTTGTATGTTGTTCTTACTGCTGGGTAGAACAGATTGTTCAGGGGGAGGGGGAAATGAAGCCTCCATCATCCCCTTTCAAACAGCCAAGATTATAGTTGGGGAGAGTCACTTTTCTCAACTACAGTTACCATAATGCCTTTGCTGTGGACATGAACCATATCCTATTAACCACAAACTAGTCCCCAAAAAGTTCTGCTGAGACACAATGTCATCCAAAGGGGTGAAAGGCCTATTGCTTGTATGTTAATTGGTTTTAAGCAGATTCAAATCACAAATAGTTTATCATCTAATATTCAGGATAAGCCAGACTTTTTCAGGAGGCAAAAGTTCACGTCACCCAATCAAAAAATCAGCATTAGTATCATACACACTCAGATGCCCTTCTGTCATCACCATTTGACACCATTTCCTCTTGGGGTATAATCACAAGAATTAATGCTGAGATGGCATATATATACACCTAGTAAGCCATTCTGCACTGGAAAAGGACAGACTTGTGGAGCTGACCATACTAAAGCTATTCGGATAAGGACCATGTTAGCACATCTGCTTTTAAAAAAATATAAAGCCACCCTGCAAGGCACTACTGCCCAGACATTAGTACGGCTCCTGCATACTCACTGTAAGGATCTCTGTCTGCCACTGGGCAGATGCTTTCTTCAATGCAGCTGGCTCTCTTCTCCCCGTGTTTCTGAACTCTTCACAAGCAAGAGGGGACCTTTTTATTTATGATAAGTGACCCCTCCCTTCTGATCCCCACACATCCTCCGCCTCCAGACTGCCACCTCTTCTCTAAACATCTCCTTCCTCTTCCCTCACTCAGGAAATCAGAAACCGGGGTTGTGGGACGGGGGGGGGGGAGTAAGAACAGACGGACGCCAGTGGCTAATAGGGTGTAAGCCACATCTTGGGGGCAGTGTGTGTCTACGCGTGAGTCCTTAACCAGGCAATAAGGGCCCTGAATTGAAGCCTTGAGAGGACATGAGAGCTTTAAATGGAAACTCTCTTTTGAGGACCAAAGTTGTTCTCCTCCAACTCCATTCCCTCCCCTAGCAATCATGCCCCATTACCACAAATACTCAGAGACAAGAGCATCCGTCCAAAGCCTCATGGGTAAACAGAGGAGGTCTTTAAACATGTACAGCTTGGCTTGTATTCCTGAAATGCAGAGCATCGTAGGAGGAAGAAGCACTTGGACTTTCTGCCATTCTCCCCCTTCACTAAAACAGAGATTCCGAGGATGGATTTGGAGAGCAGAAAACAACATATTTGAACTGAGTGGGTGTTTGGCATCCGCCAGGAATTGGCTTCTAAATTAGTTGCAGATGAATGGCTGGTTAAAGAAATCTATTACGTATGTGATGACACAAAAATGAGCCTTTCCATATGGCCACACATAACAAAGGCAACAATTGGGCTCCCCATCAAAATATCATTTAATTTTAAGTCTAAAAACAGGAAAGTCTGCTGATCTCTCTGCTTAGGGAGGAAGAGGGGCCATTTGGCTCAACAGATAATGTAGGATGCAGGGGCAGGGAGGGGGGAACTATATTATACCTTAGGTGTGTTTGTTCAGTATGTCAAATATTGAATCACTCAAACAAATCCAAGTAATAGCTCTATCCAGTTTCCTTCTGCACAGGAAAATCCAAACAGCCATCTCCTACACTCCTGCGTGGGGACAACTGGGCACATCCCTTGGAAGTGTTCTGGTCCAAGCCTGGCACCTGTTCCAGAGGAAATCATTCTCAAACACAAGAAAATGCACTGGACAACACAGTGCCCTGGTCAGATGTCTGCCAACCATGTGAAGCAGTGCAAAGTCAATGTCTGAGAAGCACTGTGGGGATCCAGACTACTAAATAAGAACTGCTAGTCCCTTCATTTCACCCTTCCCCATCTCATCCTCTTTGATTATTCCCATTATTCTGACAAGTGCATGACTCAGAGACCATATGCTTGCCAAGACATTGTGAAGTTCAATTCCTCAGCATATGGATCTCTTGGCATGCTATTGCTCCATTGGTACTTTCACGTGTATATTCTACCTGTTGAGGGGCCTTCCTAGAGATCCACTTGCTACAGTAGAGAAAGGGAAAGAGTGGATAATGGTATCAGGAGGTGAACAAAGCAAGAAGAGTCATTGTAGTAAATATCTTCTTTTTTCCACAGAAAGCAAGGGTGGAAATTGTGCAGCCACAGACTCCTTTAGTTCACCTCCTCTCCCATATAAAAGAATTTGGTCCTACTATGTTAATTTCTTGCTTAAAAGCCTCCCGAGGTGCAGTTCTCTCTTTTCAAGCTTTTTAAGGGGGCTATCTGTATTCTTTTCTGGAGCCTAGAATTTGTTATTGTTGAGTGCCATCGGGTCACAGCTAGTTTATGGAGATCCTAATGAGGTTTTGCAAGTATGTGAGATATTTAAGGGGTAGTTTTACCAGTGCTGCTGCCTAAATAGCTGAGTAGTTTAGGTATCTGGCTGCAGAGTCAAAGGCTGGGAGCTGAATTCCCCACTATAACTTCTGAGAGAAGAACCAGCCTGTGTGGCCTTGGGCAAGCTGCACAGTCCCAGAATGCCCCCAGAAGAAGGGAATGGTAAACCACTTCTGAGGATTCTTTACCCTGAAAACCCTGAAGAAAGTTATCATAAATTAGAATTGACTTGACAGCAGACAATTATTATCCATAAATCAGAATTGACTTCACAGCAGACAATTATTATTATTATTATTTACCAGTGCACTGCACCTGCCCCCATGAGTTTCCACGACCAAGCAAGAATTTTAACTCAGGTCTCCTGCATCCTCTCCCTGGAAAAGACCCTGATGTTGTCATCTTCTCCCTGGAAAAGACCCTAATGTTGCGAAAGTGTGAAGGCAAGAGGAGAAGGGGATGACAGAGAATGAGATGTTTGGACAGTGTCATCGAAGCTACCAACATGAATTTGACACAACTACGGGAGGCAGTGGAAGACAGGAAGGCCTCGTGTGCTCTGGTCCATGGGGTCAAGAAGAGCTGGACACAACGTAACAACTAAAGAACAACAACTCCTGCATCCTAGGCTGACATGCTATCCACTGTACTGCACTGGCTCTGGAGCCTGAAACAGACTTTTAAAAATCAAAAGTAACTCTGGAATGATTTGACAAGAGCAAATGTACTTATGCAACACAAACAAAAATTATGTACTGCATCTCTCTGGCACTATCTATAAGAGCAATGATTCCCTGTAAAATACTTCTGAACAAAAATAGTAATAAGCTATTGTGAGTGTCCAGTGAAAAGTGTCTTTTCAGCACAAGATGGGCCCATCCATCCAGGAGGGTGTTATGTAAATTGGATCTCTTTACTTAGCTTCTCATCCTCTCAATGACTCCTTCATCCCATACCTCCTGACTAATCAAGCTGTTACTCCTACAGTCTGGAAAGGAAGGGGAAAAGGAAGGAATCTGAAGAGGGGGGAAGCTGTCGATATTTTCTCATCTTTTTAGTTGGCAGGTGCTCTGACAAGGGGACCATGCAGCGAGTCAGATCCTTGCCAGTATAAGAAAAACAAAGCCAAACATCAAATTGAAAAAGGAAATCTCATTGGGATATGACAAATCAAAGGTTGTTCTCCTCTGCATTTCCCCCCAAGCTCCTTGTTCCTCTCTCTGATCTATGTCCTCTGCTGACTCATTCGCTACAGCCAGATGTGAAATATCCAGCTTACTTTCCTGTCCAGACTTGAAGAGCGATAAGATGTGGTTTGGATTGGACAGCATGCTGCTCACTGCCAGTAAATAGAAGTCTTTCATATTTTGCACAAAGCTGCTCTGGCTGGCTTACTGGGGCCAAAACATTGTCTAAAATCCAAAGTTCCCATATGTTTCTTATACAGGGTTGGCAAAGTTTATTGTTATATAAAACACAAAGCAACAGGTATATGTATTCTGCTCCCCCACCCCCACCCCTAAATTTTCCTACCATGCTTCCTGCCATGCTTCCTTAATAATTTACCAATTTTTACTTTGATGGGTCTGTTTTCACATGCACATTCTTTCTGCAGGTCATGTTAAGAGTGGCCTCTGGCCATATGTATATAGCCAAGGAGAAGAGGAGGAGGAAAAGGATCGCCAAAAGGGAGAATAAAAGTCAAATATTTGCATATATTTTTGCATATGCTAATACCTATAGGCAGCATGAGATGAGAGATAATTGCTACAATTCAAACAGAAATGCAAAATCTTACTATAGTGAGTAAATCTCTGTCTGGAGCACCAATGCCTACAATTGATAAAGTGCTCTCTGAACAGAATCCATGTGTTCTCTTATGGTATTGTATTATTTACTTTGAAATAGAGCACCATGCCCCACACATACATACACACAAAACTTGGTTCAGGGCCTGTTCAATGATTCTGATTTTATCCCAGTTCAGATCCATTAACGCCTGACCCAACTCTGTTTGAAGCCACACCCAAATCAAAATTCAGACATCTGAATATTTTGGTCATCATTGAATTTGCACTAATAATATTTTTTTCCCCAAAAATCTGTGTCACATGGAAAGACAGGGTAGGACACACAGAGGGGATCAATTCTCTGCCTTCCCCACCTTCTCATTTTCCTTATATGGTGCTGTTTTTTGAAGACTCTCTTTTCCATGAACTGGATTGCCAAATGATCCCAAAGTGATTTGAACTAGATCTCAATTGAACTGATCAGATCAAGTTCAGATTCATTCCAATTTGGTCTGAAGCCACCTGATTTGGAGGCAACAGCACTGAATGGGATAAATACCAGTCCTGATACGTGAATCAATTCAGGTCACATTATTTCAACCTGAACTTCAAGTCTCATCCATGCTTCAGCATGAAACCAAGATTTATGTGTTCAAGAGTTAATGACAGTCATAATGACTGGATAGTGCCGTGGGATACTTACATTCTCATGTCTGGATATGTCAAAAGATTAGAACAAAAAAGGATTGTTGATGATTCCTTTGTTAGATAATCCTAATGAGCCTAAAGTATCACACACGCACATATCTAAATCTGCTCTGTTCATAATGCAGATTTTTAAAACAAATAAAACCTGAAGCAATGGAAATTTCAAATGCAATCACCTGATTCTGCAATTGATTTTTGTGGAGAAGAAAGATATTCGCATGTTGTGAAGTACAGCATCCAGTTAATCTTACCGGACCATGCAAAGTTCTAAAATATATGATATTAAATAAAATAATTCTAAACTCACCCAAGACCTGGATGCTATCATGTGACAATAATGTATGCAGTCTAATTGTGTGCTATTTGGACCTATATTTCTTCTCTTTTCGATTGAGTCTATTGACTGTTCTTTCTTTAGCAACATATTAAAAGTGGTAGCTATATTTGCCTGTTGCAGCAAGAGCAACAAAAGACCACAGCAACACCGAGCAAATGTATTAAAATATGAGTTTTATGGAATATCACCCACGGATGAAGAAAGTTCTTGGCTGTCACACTAGTGGTCCATGCTCCTTCCATCTCCCTAACATCTTTTCAGGATCTGTGCCCAGTGGGTCCTATGTGTTTAAGTCTGCAACCTCTGTGTTACTCTTATCCCTTATTTATCATCTCCACAGCACATTCAAGGTTGACTTGTCAGTTGGCTTGCATCAGAAGAACAAACTGAAAGTGGTGCCTGGGAAATGAATGCTTCAAGCAAGGAAGAACGGAGTGATGCAAGTGTGTC